GCCTGCATCCCCTGTGTCAATCCAATCTCTTTATTTAAGATCTCACTATCTAAAAGTGAGAGGAGTCTCATATGTATGGCATTTGCCAAGACAAGATTTCTCATTTGCATTTTTAACTCTATTCATGAATTATTTTTTCAATCTCTTTTCCTTTGCAATAAAAAGAGAACCCATAAATGGGGCATATCTTTCATAATGAGAAAGAAGATATATAATATTATTTCTGGCTTGACAGATGTCATGAGACTACTTTTGGTCACATTATAATAGGCATCCATAATTGCATTTATTTTTTTTCTTGCTTGCTACAAGGGCTTACTGAGTCTCTGAAGCACTTCCTGCAGTTGGGGTCCATGGATTAAAAATCATTTCAATTGATTAAAGCCATGAGGAGAGTTATGATGAGTGTCAGATCACATGGGCATCAGAAAGGTAAAATATTACCATTTAAACCAGAAATGGAACTTTTTTCTTAAGTGATATTTTCAATGACAGGCTGGGATGTTTATTGTAAGATTATAATACCTGACATTCACTCATCCTCTTATTCAAAAGAAAATCATCTGATGAGCCTACTAAGTGGAAAGGACCATTACATACAACTTCTAACTTTACAAAATGTATCTTTAAATAACAGCCTACTGGGTCTTTAACAAAATTTGGCTGAAAGGAAACTTGAGGGTTTACTTGTAGGTTCCATTAAAAGAGCTCAGAAACAGTAATATACTAGACAAAGCAGCATTCCTCTGTCATCTAGGAACAGTATCTGCTTGACCAAGTTCTCAATTTCAGAAACCACTAAATAAGTGGGGAGGAAGGAAGGAATCCTTCCCACCCCACCTGCAGCCAACCAGATCAGAAAAGGCCAGCTGATGTTCATGGGACAACAGTCAGCACAGCCCAGTCACCTCACATCCAAACTTCATAGGAAAGAACTGTCTCCTCTATTCCACTTATCATTCTCATTTGAGGTTCTGACCATAGATGGGTTTCTCCAAATGGCTTCAGTATCGGAAAATTTTAGAGCCAACAAAAACCTAAAGAATCAATACCATTCCCTTTGTTTTAGGATTTGTCCCAACATACTTTTATGTACTGTCCAATTTGTTCCTCACAAAAAATCTTGCAAAAAAAGTATAGTAAGGGCTGGCCCGGTGGCGCACTGGATAAGTGCGCTGCTTGGGAAGCACAGCGGCACTCCCGCCTGAGGGTTCGGATCCCACATACAGACCGGTTCCCGCTCACTGGCTGAGCGAGGCGCGGGAGCAGCACCGAGGGTTGCAATCCCGTTGCCGGTCCCCGGTCCGGTATGGGGGCAACACTGAGGGTTGCGATCCGTTGCCGGACACGGAAAAAGATAAAAAAGACAAAAAAAATAAAAAATAAAAAGTATAGTAAGAATAGTTTTCCTCATTTTTAGAGTGAGAAGACTGGAGACCAGCAAGGTTGTGTGTTAGGAACGAGCCAGGGCTAGAACGCT